TTCCTTCATTTGTTTGATGTTACTTTGGTCAGGATGGATGAGGGCAGGCAGCCGCTGTCGAGGAAGCTACCGATTCCTTCTAGCAAGATAAGTCCGTACCGTCTGGTCATCATTGTCCGACTTGCTGTTGTAGGCTTGTTCTTCCACTACCGTATTCTCCACCCGGTCAAGGATGCCTATGCTTTATGGCTGACATCAGTTATTTGTGAGATATGGTTTGCTGTATCGTGGATTCTCGACCAGTTCCCCAAATGGTGCCCTATAGAACGAGAGACATATCTCGATCGACTCTCACTTAGGTACGAGAAAGAAGGCAAACCGTCGCAGTTAGCCAGTGTCGATGTCTTTGTCAGTACAGTGGACCCCTTGAAAGAACCTCCACTCATCACAGCAAACACTGTTCTCTCCATTCTCGCGGTTGACTACCCTGTTGAAAAAGTTGCATGCTATGTTTCTGATGATGGTGCTGCTATGCTTACATTTGAGGCGCTTTCGGAGACGGCTGAATTTGCTAGGAAGTGGGTTCCTTTCTGTAAGAAGTTCAATATTGAGCCTCGAGCTCCCGAGTGGTACTTTTGTCAGAAGATGGATTACTTGAAGAACAAAGTCCATCCGTCTTTTGTTAGGGAAAGGCGTGCTATGAAGGTTAGAAGAAAATTTTCATTTCTATGTTCCACATATAAGCCTTTCAGTTCATGCAAATCTAAACTAATCCATATTTTTGTTTATCCGTTTCCCTTTTGTTGATACTTGCAGAGAGACTATGAAGAATTCAAGGTTAGGATAAATGGGTTGGTTTCAACAGCACTGAAGGTTCCAGAAGATGGTTGGACAATGCAAGATGGAACTCCATGGCCCGGAAACAGTGTGCGGGACCATCCTGGCATGATTCAGGTGAGATGATTGTTTTGTTCCATTCCCATCTTTACATACCGAGAACACTTTTCTGTATCACACTTTACTTTCCAGCCTTAAGTCACTAACCATCTGAATCTACTCCACGGATTCAGATATACAGTTTACTTATATATAGATCTCTCTCATTTTCAGGTATTCCTCGGCCAAAGTGGTGTTCGTGATGTTGAAGGCAATGAGCTACCCCGTTTAGTCTACGTCTCTCGTGAGAAAAGACCTGGGTTTGAACATCATAAGAAGGCTGGAGCAATGAATGCACTGGTAAGACTCCAAAGCCTTGTATCTATGATCCCAGCAGGTGTCCTTTGTCCATGTTGTGAAAAGTAAGTATGATCAAGAACTTGATGAGCTTTTGCTGGTTGCTTTGTGATTGTTTGATCTAGGTACGAGTTTCAGCAGTTCTGTCGAATGCTCCCTATATGCTGAATGTCGATTGTGATCACTACATTAACAACAGCAAAGCACTCAGAGAAGCCATGTGCTTCATGATGGACCCTACGTCGGGGAAGAAAGTTTGCTATGTACAGTTCCCACAAAGATTCGATGGCATTGATCGTCACGATCGATACTCCAATAGGAATGTAGTCTTCTTCGATGTAAGTAATATCTGTATATGCACTTTGTAGTTTTGGGTTCATTTCGACTCAGTGGTGGAAGCTAATTCCTGCTAATGGTAAAAACAGATCAACATGAAAGGGTTGGATGGTTTACAAGGACCCATTTATGTGGGTACTGGGTGTGTTTTCCGGAGACACGCACTATATGGATATGATGCACCTGTTACAAAGAAGCCACCTGGAAAAACATGCAACTGCTGGCCAAAATGGTGCTGTCTTTTCTGCGGGTCCAGAAAGAAGAAGTCATTGAAGGCTAAGGACAACAAGAAGTCAAAGAATAGGGAAACATCAAAGCAGATCCATGCTCTTGAAAATATTGAACAAGGAATAGTTGGTATGCGATCTATGTCATTTTTGTGAAGCTTGGTCCGATGAAATATTTTACTTGGTCCTGAAGAATCATCAATCCTGTGCAACTTAACTTGATTTACTGGTTTCAGAATCAAAGCCAGTGAAGTCGCCAGTGCAATCTCAAACCAAATTAGAGAAGAGGTTCGGACAGTCTCCGGTGTTCATTGCCGCAACACTGTTGGAAAATGGTGGAGTTCCTAGGAATGCAAGCCCAGCTTCCTTACTCCGGGAGGCGATCCAAGTCATCAGCTGTGGGTACGAGGATAAAAGCGATTGGGGCAAAGAAGTAAGACGAAAATCGAGATGTAAACAGTTCAATCATCGTACTATCCTCATGGCGGAAGTATCTGACTTTTCATTTTGTTTTGGTTGATCCAGGTCGGCTGGATTTATGGTTCAGTTACGGAAGATATCTTGACTGGGTTCAAGATGCATTGCCACGGTTGGAGATCGGTCTACTGCATCCCGAAAAGGCCTGCGTTCAAAGGTTCAGCTCCTATCAATCTGTCAGATCGTCTGCATCAAGTTCTTCGGTGGGCTCTTGGATCGGTGGAGATTTTCTTCAGCAGACATTGTCCAATTTGGTATGGATATGGTGGCGGCCTGAAGTGGTTGGAGCGGTTTTCGTACATAAACTCAGTTGTCTATCCTTGGACTTCCCTTCCACTTCTGGTTTACTGTACCTTGCCAGCCATCTGCCTTCTCACTGGGAAGTTCATTGTGCCTGAGGTAAAACCCCAACTCTGTGTTCTAGATTTTATCTATTTTCGTTGAATGTTTGAGTCTTAGGGATTGATTTATTATGAGAGTGCATGTGATTTAGATAGTTCTTCCTGTTTTCTACATCTCTACCACTTATCTGCAATTTGAGCCATCTAAACACATTGTTAATTGTGCTTTCTTAACAGATTAGCAACTATGCCAGTATCGTCTTCATGGCCCTTTTCATATCCATCGCCGTGACGAGCATTCTCGAGATGCAATGGGGCGGAGTAGGCCTCGACGACTTGTGGAGGAACGAGCAGTTTTGGGTGATCGGAGGAGTCTCCTCTCACCTCTTTGCCCTCTTCCAAGGTCTCCTCAAGGTCTTAGCCGGAGTGAGCACAAACTTTACTGTCACATCGAAGGCAGCTGATGATGGAGAATTCTCTGAGCTCTACATATTCAAGTGGACGTCTCTCTTGGTCCCGCCCACAACTCTCCTGATCATGAACGTGATAGGAGTCGTGGTCGGGATCTCCGATGCAATCAACAATGGTTATGACTCATGGGGCCCTCTCTTCGGTCGGCTGTTCTTTGCCATATGGGTGATTGTACATCTCTACCCTTTCCTCAAGGGTCTTTTGGGGAAGCAGAACAAGATGCCAACAATCATCCTGGTGTGGTCGATTCTGTTGTCGTCAATATTGACCTTGTTGTGGGTCCGTGTCAACCCATTCGTGAACCGGGATGGACCCGTGTTGGAGGTTTGTGGGTTGAACTGCAACTGATAGAGCTAATCAAGAGACAATTGGTGCCATACAGATGAAGGAGCTTAGTGGGTGAAAACTACTTGGCTTGAGCTGCAAGGTAGGGGGTGTGTTACATAGTGTTGTGAATCAAAAATTTTGGCTGAGGAAGGAAAGGTGGGAGAAGAAGAACAAAGTTTGAGTCTTTTTTTTTTGTCTGTGGAGGTGTAGATATCTTGTGGAAGTTGGGAAGGAACATTTGGGTTAATTTTCCCTTTTGTTTTTCTCTTACTGTTTAGTTTTTACATGGGAGGGAAGTTTTATTTTTTACTCTTTTTTTGAATTAATTCTTTAATTTAATTGCTGGTGAGGTCTAGGAAGAGGGTCTTTTCACTTTTGTCATATGATTATAAGGGTTCCTGTTCATTTGATGATTGGTTTCCTGTATTCTTCAAGATCATAAATTAATTCCCCCTTTGGTCAGAAATGTTTGTGGTGGGAAAGGGGGAATTCCAGAAGTATAAAGTGTCTGAAAAAAGCAGCAGCAAAAACATTTCTTGTTCCTCCAGGTTTCTTTTGTAATCTTATTTTTATGTTGGACAGCTGGAAAACAGTGTAATGTACTCTTTCTTCTTCTACTATATCAAATCTGATTTGCATATTGCAGTTCATAGTCAAGCTTATAAACTTTTGTGCAGGACTCTTTGTCTTTGATTACTTGTCAGGAAATGGGATCCTTGGTCTCCCCTGGTTAGGAAGGGGATCCGGGAAACTAACCATGATAGAAGCTTTCAATGTTCTGCATCTTGTTCGAGCTCGAGCTCTATGTCAAGTGCATTGTTAAGCGATGGAGCTGCTAGTGGTCAGCTGCAGCATCTATGCCTCAAGTCATGTTGGCCGAGGTAAGATGCAGACCACTTATGAGTCCTGCAGTTAGCTGCATCGTCTATTGTCTTTGATGGCCGAGTCAAGCTGCTTCATGAGTAAGTTGCTCGCATCTGCGAAACATCGACCGAGCGAACTATGAAATCAGCATTGCTCAAGGAGAAAAAGAGGGCTTTGTTCTGTTCACTGTGCTGTTTTCAGAACTTGGTTAGGAAAGTTTGGTCTGTTGGGTTTCTGCCCTATTTCATATGGTTGAGTAAGTTCAACAGATGAATCTTTTGATTTCATGGACTACAACACAGCATAAGAGCATCTATGGAAGACATTATCCTTTTTTGCCTCCATATTTGGCAGTCACACTCGGATCCTGTTAGAGTTGAGCTTTTGATAACTCTTATTAGGGTTGTTCTTGAGAGAGCCTTGTATAGAACTCTTTCTCATACTCTGTCATCAAATGAGATGCTTGGTCTCTCATTTTAACGAATGATATACTAATGTAAATTCACGTAATAGACGTTATTTCTATAGGAAGATAAAGTGTCATAATCAATTATTCAAATGAATGATTGTGAAATAAAAACGAGACTAATATGAAGTCATTATTTATTATCGTATACAAAAATTTGTTCAAACAAAGCGAAAGTACAAAATTGTTATTTCAATCTTACTAGTAGGAGTACCACTATACAAAATGTACAAAGGAATTCAAGAAAACCCTAAAATTCGTTTCTCAAAATTCCCACAAATCTTTCTCCCAATCCCCAGAATTCGATCCCTTTCCATCTCAATTGCGCCAGCTCAAGCAATCACAGACGGGATTCCCATACGAAACCACCTTCGGATTCGCGTAATTCGGGTAGTAATTCCGGTACCCAAATCCGCACGAATCGCGGCTGTGAAGATAGGCCACCGGGTGCCCGACGGCGAACGAAGGCGGGAGGAAGTACGCTGCGGCGGGAGAAGGATCGAATTTCTCGACGGGAGAGAAATCGTCGGTGCTGATCACAGACGGCGGAGGGGAGACGGCGGCGCCCTGCTTCTTGGAGTTCTTTGGCGGGGAGAGAATCGCGCGAATCTTGGAGCCAGGGGAGGACCGATCGTACTCCTCCACGACGGCGGCGAGCTCCTCGCCGGACTTGATTGAAACGAGCGTCTCGAGATCGCCGCTCGGGAGCGGGCATCGGAGCTCGACGGCGGCCTCGCCGCAGAGGTCGGCGAGCTTGGACATGAGGTCGGTGAAGGAGGTGGTGGCGGAATCGAGGTCGTTGACGGCGAGGACCCTGGTCGTCCCGCCGGCGTATCGGAGCTTGGTGTCGCCGTGACGGGGTGGGAGGATCCGGCCGCCGTAGCTGCAGAGGAACTTGACCGGCGCCATTGTTGCTGTTTTCTGGGAGGAATTTGCTCTAAGTGAGATTCTGCAGTGGAGGAGGAGGAGGAGAAGGAAAAGGGGAAATTGGTTGGAAAGGAAGTGACTGATGAGGAAATGGGCGGTTTTGTTGTTATTTATAGGGCGCGAAATCGTTGCGGCGTATTAGTTGAGTAGTTAAAGTTTCTTTAATATTCTTTTTCCCCTCTTTTCCGTTTGAGGGTGGGATTAAGAATAAGAATGAATTAATTTGCCCTTTTTAACAGAATTAAAGAATTTAACTCCTTCTAAGTGCTCCTATGATTCTTAAAATGTGCATATATATAATAAGTATCGTTCGAAAATTATCTCTAGGAAGTTGTTCCGATTGCGTGAAATAATATCAATATACAATGTACAGATTGTTGTAATTTACCGTTACACAATCATATTATTTTAGCTTTCATTAATTTACTGCTACGCAATTGATATGTTTAATACTATTTATAATGTCCTAAAATCTTATATTTTTCTAAGATAGGTGACACTCATAATCCATCGAGTCAATATCAATATCACTAACTCTTTTGTGATGGTAATATTTGTTGATAAGTAACAAGAGACTGAAATTTTAAGGTAAAATAAACTTGTCGAGAGAAATTAATTAACAATTACTTGTACATTAGCAAACAACCAATTATACATATTCCCAATTTAGAAGATTCTGTTGTGTGGATCCAAACCAATCTTTCTGGATCTTAGCAATGTGATAGATGCGGTTATACCCAAATTTGGTGTTGCTCCAATTTTTAATTTAATTTTTCACAAAGTAAAAAGTTGGGTATAGATGGAATTGGAAATACCAAAATCTGACTTCACTACGAAACATTTTAGTTTTTACCTATACTTTAGGTTAGAAAATTAATCAAAGAGCTGCGATTTTAAGAAGATATTAGTTCTTGAATTTTGAGTGATCTAAACATTGGGAATTGGATAAAATTTGGTTGCCAAATTGGGAAAAGAGTGTAAAGAATCTAAGAATCTTTGTATTCTAAAACAAGACACCCCATTGGTATAACTGAAATTCAAAGTCATTATTCAAGGAAATTTTTTTTAAGTATTCTAGAAAGATAATATATAGCGATATTGATTATATATATTGTACATGCCATCATTTAATTTAACCAGTAACTACTACATTCTGAGATGAGTAGTAACGTTCCAATTTAAATGAGAGATAACTAACAACTTAATCATATTTTCTAACTAAGTAGTTACTTCAACAGAAAATTAAAAGACATACCATCGAGTCATTGGATGAAAGTCTAATTTATATGACGATAACACTTATTTTGGAGTCGGAATTCCAGAAGGTAATCAGAAAAATAAAATCACCAAACCGGTATATAATGTGCTAGTGGAAAGACCATTTAATTAACTCGAGAAAACATTTGAAGGAAATCAATCACTTAAACTTAGCATGTTTTTCCTCGAAACTCAAACTCGTGAAGTAAGTAAAAATTCAGATGAAAGTGACCGGATTGATTTGTTAACACGAATCCAATTACTTTGATGTTCGTTGATAAAACTGATGTCTTGTTAACGAGTTGCTTCATATAATCATCACCACATGTAGTTAACCACTTAAATCGAAATGACAACATTTATTTATCAATAAAAAATGTAAAGAATCTTGTTTGAAGTGTTGGCGTTCATTGGGCGTAGTATTTGTTTGCTGTAGGACACGGTGCCCTCTTCAGCTGTTTCCACGACAGTCAACCGTTTGCCTCGTCATCATCTTCATAAAATTGATTACACACGTCATCATGTTCTTCCTTCAAAGTGACGTCTTCTTCTCCTTATTATTATTATTATTATTATTATTATTATTATTATTTAATTACATGGAGTTCTGGTGAACCTGTCATGCATGGCTTTTCGAGCTTTGACAATAGAGCTATATCATTTCTTGGATTCAAGTCGTATAATATCAATGTCACAGTTTCACGTATACTACAAACGTTATAGCTACTATAACTCCGTGCATGTAATTAATCATGCCAAACTCTGCTTTGTTTAATTTAAAGCTCATCCCACTCAAAATCACTTAATTGGAACATTCCTGGGATCAAGTTGATTCCTTTTCTCTTCCAGTTATAAGATCGTGCTTATTATAAATTGAGTTTGACAAACGTGGATAGTGGCAATGTTCTTGTATTATATTGTCTTGCACCAATTAGTTATTCTTGTACCCATCAAGCTTGACTTGACTACAAGAGCACTGGAAACCATTGAACCCCCCTTTAGTGGGTTCCTAGCTACTTCCTATGAAAGCCTAAATCTGGTTGTAATATGACAATTTGTTTATTGAAATGAAGAGAGAATAAATACATGAAGTTCAGCCATAGGAATCGGCCAGGAAACAACTACCCAAACTACTCTCCTAACAATCAGCAACCACTAAACCAAGCAACAGCTAAAGATCAGCACTCTGTTTGCTCGATCTCTTGATCACAACGGATATTGACCAAACTCACATAACTAAATAAAACAGGGACCAAAACATAAATAACCAAACGCTGCAGTTTCACTAAACTTCAGCCTTCATAATCGAGCCGCTTCAATCCTTCTTCGCAAAGGATTCGGATTACTTCTTCTTCTAGCTTCCAAACCAAGTCCAACAGATCCTCCCCTGAACTGAAGCAGGTTTGCTTGCTTCAGTTCACCTCTTTGCTTGCAGCTTCGAACTCTGACAGATCCACCATTCCAAGTTCAGTTCTCAGCAGTTGATAGGTCTCAGTCTTAAGCCCCTTAGTCATGACATCAGCAATCTGCTCATGAGTTCTGCAATGTTCCAGCTCCACAATTCCTTCAGCAGCCAACTCCCTGAGAAAGTGGAATCGAATGTCGATGTGTTTGCTTCTGCCATGAAGCACAGGGTTTTTGGAAAGCTTGATGGCAGAGCTGTTATCACACATAATCTTCGTGGCTCCAGTGACACTTTCCTTCCATCCAATCTGCTCCAGGATTCTTCTCATCCACACACATTGAGCTGCACAGAATGAGGCTGCTACAAATTCTGCCTCTGTGGTTGATAAAGTGACCACATGTTGCTTTTTGGAGGCCCATGACACCACTCCACCTGCAAGGAAAAAGGTGTATCCACTAGTGCTTTTCCTGTCATCAACATCACCTGCATAATCACTGTCAGTGAAACCAAGTAGCTGAGCCTCTTCACTTATTCTCTTGTACCAGACCCCCCCATACTTATGGTTCCTTTGAGATATCGAATTACCCTCTTGGCAGCCAACATGTGCTGCCTGGTAGGACTCCTGTTGAGTACATGAGCAGCCCATGCTACTGCTTCTGGCCAAAAAGAAGCAGAAACCTTGCAATCCTCCAGAACACATCTCACCATATTCATCACAGTCCTGTTCTTCCTCTCAGCCACCCCATTTTGCTGAGGTGTAAGAGCAGCAGTAAGTTGTCTTTTTATTCCAGCCTCATCACACAGATCTTTAAACTCATGCAGCAAAAATTCTCCTCCTCTGTCAGTTCTCAAACACAGAATACTGTTTCCAGTTTCCTTCTCTATGTAACTCTTAAACTTCTTGAAGTGTTCCAGGGTGTCAGATTTGGCTGGCATAAAATACACCCAGAGTTTCCTACTGAAATCATCAGTCAAAGTCAGGATGTACCTCTTGCCACCATTTGAAGTTGGAGTTATAGGTCCACACAAATCAGCATGGAGAAGCTGGAGTTTTTGTGTGGCTCTCCAGTTGCTCTTCTTAGGAAAAGGATGTCTATGCTGCTTCCCCATCATACAAGTCTGACAGACTCCTGTTTCCCCTTTCAAACTTGGCAGGTCTTGAACCAGGTTTTTCTTTTGAACATCCAGCAGCCCTTGAACACTTATGTGCCCAAATCTTCTGTGCCACAACTCCAGGGAGTCTTCTTTTGACTGATCCACTTGCAAACATTGTCCCTCTTTTCCTCTTCTTGATTCAGCTTGTAGGACAAACATACGGATGGATTTCATTTCTGTTTGCAACAGCAGACCTCTTTCTTCATGGAACAGTTTGCACACTCCTCCTTTAATGAGAAAGGAGAGACCCTTCTCTTGTAGTTGACCCACACTTAACAAATTGGACTTGAGTTCAGGCACATAAAACACTTCCTGTACCAGAAAAGATGGCTGATTCACCAGCAGTTTGACATTACCTCTTCCTTCAACATTTAGCCTAGTGTCATTACCAAGCCTGACAGTGCAATGAAACTTGATGTCTAGTTCAGTAAACCAGCTCCTGTCACCACTCATGTGATTGGAGCAACCAGAGTCCAAAAACCACCAGGTTTCATTGTTGTGAAGGACTTCTTTGGAGTTCTGCTCAGCATCCAGATAGGCCATAAGCAGCATGTCATCTTTTAGATCTCCCCGGCTCCTTCCTTGATAGCTAGCATAGTAGGATTGCTGGTTAGTTTCCCACTCTGGACACTCATACTTGTAGTGCCCCAGTCTGTGACATTTGAAACATTCCACAGACTCCTTGTTCCAGCCTCTTCCTCCTCTTCCTCGTCCTCTTCCTTGGTAGCTCCTGCCTCCATAGCCTCTACCACCTCTTCCAGCATACTCATGTGATGCCTTCAAAGCCTGATCTTCCTCACCAGCATTCTTCCTTTGAAACTTTTGTTCATGCACAATCAGGGAGCTTTGGAGAGCATCAACAGTCAAAGTTTCTATATCCTTTGACTCCTCAATTGAGCAGACCACAAAGTTGAACTTTTCAGTCAAAGTTCGAAGAATTTTCTCAACAATGTTCACATCAGTTAAGTTCTCACCACAGTTCCTCATTGAATTTGCAATAACCATTACTCTACTGAAATAATCAGTTATGGTTTCACCTTCTTTCATTTCCAGCAGCTCAAAACTTCTTCTTAGACCTTGCAGCTAAGCTTTCTGCACCCTTGCACTTCCCTGGTACTTGATCTTCATGGAATCCCATAGTTCCTTAGCAGTCCTCTTGTTTGTG